CCGCAGGTCAACAACACACACACACACACAAGAGGAGCGCCGTACACTCCGCAGGTCAACAACACACACACAAAAGGAGCGCCGTACACTCCGCAGGTCAACAACAACACACACACACACACACACACGTTAAAGACATCAGACAATAATCTCAGCTTTAGACGGCTTGAACACCTCATGCATGTTGTGCACAATTTTCTGGCTTTACTAGTTGCTGAGTTTGATACATCTTCCAGGTTATCCCCATCAAATTTATTATAAATGTTCAGGTTTGTTTGAAGCACTTAGTAGCTAATAAATAAGATTTCCTTCAGCACACCTTCATGTTCTCAGGAATACATTATCATTGTTGACAAGATTGGGGGTTGGGAAGATTTTTTAAATGTTTTTAAAAGAAGTCTCTTCTATTCATCAAGGCTGCATTTATTTGTTAAAAAATATAGTAAAAACTGTAATATTGTTTTGTGAAATATTATTACAATTTTAAATGTGAATATCTGTTAAAATGTAATTTATTTCTGTGATCAAAGCTGAATTTCCAGCATCATAACTCCAGTCTTCAGTGTCAGATGATCCTTCAAAAAGCATTCTAATATGCTGACTTGCTGCTCAACAAACATCTCTGATTATAATCAATGTTGCAAACCGTTGTGCTGCTCAATATTTTTGTGGAAAACTGTGATGCATTTTATTTTTCAGGATTCACAGATGAACAGAAAGTTCAAAAGCCGCAGGTCAACAACACACACACACACACAAGAGGAGCGCCGTACACTCCGCAGGTCAACAACACACACACAAAAGGAGCGCCGTACACTCCGCAGGTCAACAACAACACACACACACACACAAGAGGAGCGCCGTACACTCCGCAGGTCAACAACACACACACACACACAAGAGGAGCGCCGTACACTCCGCAGGTCAACAACACACACACACACACAAGAGGAGCGCCGTACACTCCGCAGGTCAACAACACACACACACACACAAGAGGAGCGCCGTACACTCCGCAGGTCAACAACAACACACACACACACACACGTTAAAGACATCAGACAATAATCTCAGCTTTAGACGGCTTGAACACCTCATGCATGTTGTGCACAATTTTCTGGCTTTACTAGTTGCTGAGTTTGATACATCTTCCAGGTTATCCCCATCAAATTTATTATAAATGTTCAGGTTAGTTTGAAGCACTTAGTAGCTAATAAATAAGATTTCCTTCAGCACACCTTCATGTTCTCAGGAATACATTATCATTGTTGACAAGTTTGGGGGTTGGGAAGATTTTTTAAATGTTTTTAAAAGAAGTCTCTTCTATTCATCAAGGCTGCATTTATTTGTTAAAAAATATAGTAAAAACTGTAATATTGTTTTGTGAAATATTATTACAATTTTAAATGTGAATATCTGTTAAAATGTAATTTATTTCTGTGATCAAAGCTGAATTTCCAGCATCATAACTCCAGTCTTCAGTGTCAGATGATCCTTCAAAAAGCATTCTAATATGCTGACTTGCTGCTCAACAAACATCTCTGATTATAATCAATGTTGCAAACCGTTGTGCTGCTCAATATTTTTGTGGAAAACTGTGATGCATTTTATTTTTCAGGATTCACAGATGAACAGAAAGTTCAAAAGTACAGCATTTATTTGAAATAGAATGTTTTGTTATATTATTAATGTTTTTACTGTCACTTTTAGTCAATTTAATGCATCTTTAATGAATTTCTTTCAGAAATGAAAATTATCTTACTGACCTCAAACTGTTTTGCATATCCAGTTTAACATTTACTTGCATATAAATGTCATGCAAAAATACTTGATCGCTTTACATGTCAATCATATGGTGTCCTTCTGTCTAAATGGTCAGTTTTAGGTCAAAATAAGCTGGTTTTATAATGCTCGTCTTGCATAGCCAGACTTGATGGTACATGAAGATGGTTATATGAGGTAAGTGAGGTCAGATGAGATGATTTTATTGTGTGTTTTTGTGTCCATCTGCAGCCATGAACGGTCACTCTGAGTGTTTGCGTCTGCTCATCCACAACACCGAGCAGCAAACGGCCATCAACATCCGTGATGGGAAGGGACAGTGAGTTTCAGGACTTCTCTATCTCAGATGTATGGTTGAATGATTGTGGGATTGTTGATCTGTGTGTGTGTGTGTGTGTGTGTGTGTGTGTGTGTGTGGTCAGGACTCCTCTGATGTTGGCAGTTCTGGGTGGACACACAGATTGTGTGTATATTCTGTTGAGTGAAGGAGCCAGTGTGGAGGCCAGAGATAAATGGGGCAGGACGGCCCTCCACCGCGGGGTCAGTCTTACACACACACACACACACACACACACACACAGACCTTCATCTGCCTTCATCTCCAATTCCAGTTTATTCTCATTTATTGTCATTTACAAAATCATTTTAAAATAAAATACATTTTAAATAATAAATAATTTTATATCATAAATATAGTAAAGTAAATAAAAAAAAAACATTGTTTGATATTTTAGTAATGGAATAATGGAAGTAAACTAGGCCAAGTGCTTTGAGGGTTTAAAATAAAAATATATAATAATATTAATTTGCAGCTTGTTAGAGAACTGGGTTATTTCTGTTACAATGTTTATTTTATTCTTCTTTTAAAAAAAATCTCCATTTAATGGCAATACTACTTTTCTCAGTAGATGAACATAAGCCTTACAGATGTTATTAATTTCAGAATATTTCCCTGTATGCTAACACTAACAGTGTTTTCTGGTATCCTTGTGTGTGTTAAGTGAAAGTTACTGGGCTTATTCAACTTTATTTATCAGTTTTGTGTGTTCAGGACAGAGGCTGAAATATTGGGTTAGTTAGTGAGGTAACACTTTATTTCGATAGTCCACTTTAGACATTCTATTAACAGTAAATAACATTACAACTACATGTCAACTCTCTCTCTCTCTCTCTCTGTGTGTGTGTGTGTGTCACAGGCAGTGATGGGTCAGGAGGCATGTGTGGAGGCACTGTTGCAGCATGGCTCCAGTCTGCTGGTTCAGGACAGTAGAGGGCGCTCTCCTATGCACCTGGCGGCTGCCTGCGGTCATGTGGGGGTTCTGAGGGCCCTTCTGAAGACCCAGAAGACTGTCCTCGTCCTCAAGGACAACTGTGGTTATACACCGCTGCACTGGGCCTGTTATAATGGTACATCTGTGACGTTAAACTTACTGCCGTCCGAGCAAACTGATTTGATACACAGTGTAGTATACTTGCTCAATGAAATCCAATACTTTCCTGCTTCAATAGTGCCTGTTTGTAGCAAAAGCTGCTTCTGACAACATTTGTGCAGTGAAGTCATCTTGTACTCTCCCTTAATCAGCAGAAAAACTGCCACAGACACATGATTCCTGTCTGAATCTGAGCCAGATTACTGCTATTAGTTCGATTCTCAGCCCATTTTCACACACATGACATTATTTTATGCATAATTCTGATTTCAAGGTTAGAGTTATGGCCAGTGACAGAAGAAAATGCAAACATGAGCCTGATGTTTTCTGCTACATCTGTGGGTGTTTTACCTTATCCAGACAGCCACAGAAAATGACTGATTATGTGGAGGAAAAAAGCTAGAAAAAGTTCAATGATACACAGGTATATTATAGACTATAGTTAACTAAAACTGAAACAAACCATTAAAAAGAAAAAAAAAATGTTGTGACTTGGAAGAATAAACAACAACTGAAATAAAATAAACACACACACACACATATACATATATATATATATATATATATAAATTTAATTATAGTAAAAAAAAAAATTCTTCTTCTGTGAAAAAAAAACTGTACATGATTGAACATTTAAGGAATAATATATATTTTTTTGCAAATGAGCACATTTTTTTAAGACGAGGTCTGTAATAAATGAAACATTAGCACATTCCCTTCATGATCTGATGTATTTTTCTCTTGTTTTCCATGTTGGTCTGTTCATGTCAGGTCATGACGCGTGTGTTGAGCTGCTCTTAGAGCACGATGTGTTTCAGAAGCCAGAGGGAAACTCCTTCAGTCCGCTGCACTGCGCCGTGTAAGAAACATCTGCTCACATTGTGCATAATATTCATATTAAATGTTTGTATTAAAGCATGACACACTGAAAAAAAATGGTGTAGAAACAGTGTTTACTCAGAAATTGCTGGTAAATTTCACAATTAATTACAAAGAAACAGCAAGTAACGTTAGATTTAATGTGAAATTTTGAAGTTAGAAAGCTAGAATAGTATTTTCTTGCAAAACATACTCCAATAATCTTTATTTCCATCTCTCTCGTCTCTGTTTCAGTATTAATGATAATGAGTCTGCGGCTGAGATGCTGATAGAAACTTTAGGTCCTGCGATCGTAAACGCCACAGACTCACAGACAAGGTGAAAACAGGCTTTCCTCATGGATCAGATGTTTCAGACCAGCACTACAGTATGTTGTTGAGTTGATATGTTTTGTGTGTCCCGCAGGACGCCGCTTCACGCCGCCGCGTACACAGATCACGTGGAGTGTCTGCAGCTGCTGCTGGGTCACAACGCTCAGGTCAACGCCATCGACATGCTGGGAAAAACAGCGCTCATGATGGCCGCTGGGAACGGACAAACGAACGCCGTCGGTGAGACACACACTGCTCTCTCAACATACAGCAGAAGCAGATTTCTGCCGCACAAAATGCTAACAGAGATCAGACAGCAGAACAACAACAAAGTAACAAATGCTTGAAAGTAGCAAATACAGTAAACAAATAAAGTTCTATTAACTCAAATACAGTAGAAATGTTACAATGTAACAGAATTAGTTAAATGTATCATAAGTAACACTACAATACAACATGCTGCCATTGTAAATAACATTCCCTAACACTGCCGAACAGTATTTTTATCAATTCTATTTTCAGTTTTCATTTTAATTGTAGTTTTATTTTTACAAATTTTGTGTGCTTTCGTCATTTGCTTTAGTTTTTTATATTTCCTTTTAGCTTTATTTTTATTTCAGTTTTAGTTTCAGTAGTTTAATGTGCTTTTGTCATTTTTAATAGTTTGTTTTTAATGTCTAATTAACTTTATTTATTTTTGTTTTAGTAATTGTATGTAGGGCTGCACGATATATCGTTTCAGTATCGATATCGCGATGTGCGCATCTGCGATAGTCACATCGCAGGATGTGCGATGTTTAGTATAGGCTACTGATCGTTATATTTATACTGATTGTTTTCTTTGCTCACACACAGACACGATGTCTACACCGGCCGCGACAGCTGTACAGAGATACCCATTTTAAATACATTTAGTAGCAGAGCTACTGCACGTGATTTTCATTGCTGGAAATCCATTTATCCTGTTGAAACTTCCGCGTCGTCGTGGAGAGTGCCGGTCACGGTTGCTTAGTAACGGCAGATGCCACGAAAGCGCAAGCTCCTGAGCACTTTGAAAAGGAGGAGGAAGCGGCACGACTGGCGTTTTCCCACGCGCTTTTAGGCACGACGTGTGAACGGCCCCAAAGTCTGTCTACACTGGAAAGCGGCCGTTGCCAATCATTTGACCTTTGTGTCAGTAAGTCATAAAGAGAACGCGGCATCAGTTTACTGTTGGGGATTTGTCGTGCCGCGCCATGCCGCGCCGCATCCAGTGTAGACAGACAGCATCACTGATTATTTTGGGTTCATTGTATTTTGTCGCGTCCGGTGAAGACACTGTGAGAGCCACGCAGATGCACGTGAACACTAATTTCTGTTCACTTCTGCGTCTATTTGTGCCTGAAATCGCCTACTGTGCTCTGCAAGTATCCTTGTAAACGCAGTTGCTTATGGCTTAGGTGAAGGGAAGCAATTGAGAAAGAAAATGGATGTGTAACAGTATATTGGTTTACAGCAGTTTAATGTTCCTGAGGCTAACTGAATGTTAAAGGGTTAGTTCACCGCAAAATGAAAATGATGCTGCGTTTTTACTCACCCTCGAAGCATCCTAGGTGTATATGACTTTCTTCTTTCAGACGAATCCAGTCGGAGTTATATTAAAAATTGTCTTTGATCTTTCAAGCTCTATTGTTGTACTCAGCGGGTGTTGCATTCCTTCGGTTCAAAAGACGTGAAATAAAAAGCACCCTTCCACAAAAAAAAAGTGTCTCACACGGCTCCGGGGGGTGAACAAAGGCCTCCTGTAGCGAATCAATGCGTTTTTGTAAAAAAAATATCCATATTCAAAACGTAATAATCACTTGAATCTAGCTTGCGCTCACTGTTTTAAACGGAAGCAGTCCCGGGGGAATGATGTATGAGTTCAATGCTGCGCATGCGCCGCTCAGAAGTGACACATGTGGAGAGATCGAAACAAAACAACGGTCACTAATTAGAAGTACAAAACGAGGATTTGTAAAGAAGAATGTCGGAGGATTTCGATATAAGCCAAGAGAAGACTTGTTTTCCTTTGCTAAAGTAAGGAAACTTTGCTTCTTTTGCTCCTGTAAACAAACATTGGTTTTCACGAGACTCACTGGTGCATGCGCAACGCCGACCTCATACGTCATCAGCCCGGACCTGCTTCCAGTGTAGGACTGTTGGCGCAAGCTACATTAAAGTGATTATTAAGTTTTGAATATGGATATTTTTCTTACAAAAACGCATCGATTCGCTACAGGAGGCCTTTGTTCACCCCCCCTGGAGCCGTGTGAGACACTTTTTTTTGTGGAAGGGTGCTTTTTATTTCCCCTCTTTTGAACCGAAGGAATGCAACACCCGCTGAGTACAACAATAGAGCTTGAAAGATCAAAGACAATTTTTAATATAACTTCGACTGGATTCGTCTGAAAGAAGAAAGTCATATACACCTAGGATGCCTCGGGGGTGAGTAAAACACAGCCTAATTTTCATTTTGCGGTGAACTAACCCTTTAATCAAACAAAACAAAGAAAAATCACTTTTGTAGCTTTAACACAGATTTATTAGATTTAATTTATACAGTGAAGACTATGCAGTTTTATTTTACATTTGATTATTCAATTTCTGTACCTTGAATACTGTTAGACTTACCTGAACAATATAAAGCACTGCTTATTTAATTTGTATCGTTGTTCTGTTATTTATCTATGGTTGTAATTTGTTTATTTCCTATGCTGATTTACTCGCCTACAAAATCACCCCAATCATTGATTATTTTTTCCCCAAATAAACTATTCAAGTCATGTGTTTTGTTTTTTGTTTTTTTCATATCGCAATATATATCACAGAAAAATAAAATATTGCAATGTGAGTTTCTTCCAATATCGTGCAGCCCTAATTGTATGTGCTTTTTCCATTTGTATTAATTTTGTTTTTTAGATTTCTATTCATTTTTTTATTTATTTTTAGTTTAGTTTTCATTTTGGTAATTTTATGTGCTTTTGTCATTTTTATTAGTTTTGTTTTTTCACATTTCTATTTACCTTTATCTTATTACATTTTCAGTAACTTTGTGCTTTTTGGCATTTTTATTAGTTTTGTTTTTTAATATTTCTAATTAGCTTTATTTGTATTTCAGTTTTACTCATTTTATGTTCTTTCGTCATTTTTATTAGTTTTTCATTTCTATTTAGCTTTATTTTTATTTCATTTATGCTTCAGTTTTAGTGTATTTTATTTAGTTTTATATTTTATTTTATTTCAGCTTTATTTCAATTACGAAAAAAGATTTTTAATAGTTTTCATAGTTAACAAACAACAACAACACTGGTAGACAACATTAAATGTACGGACTTCTTTTGTGTTATTGCATTGCTGTGGCTCAAGGTGGCGCTAGAGTTTCCTTCATATGTCTGTGTCATTACACCAGATGTGATGTTATTGTTATGTGTATGTAATCATATTAGATCTGTCTGACAGCAGCTGGAGGTGTTGCTGATATTAATGTGAGGTGCTGATTGTGTTTGTGCAGAGGTGCTGGTGAGCAGTGCTAAAGCTGATTTGACATTACAGGACGCTCACAGAAACACAGCCCTGCATCTGGCCTGCAGTAAGGTACCAAACACACACTCACGCACTGATTTACATCAAACATGACAGTCTACTGTACATCAGTGCAGCCCTGCGGCCAGACAAACTACAGAAACTCAGAAACAAGCATGGAAAGAGAGCTGCTTGAGCATAAAGTCAATTCCTCCTGCTGCTCATCGATAAAAAATCCTCAGTCTCAGTGATAAACCTGTAGTCCAAAGCTCTCAGAGCCAAATATAAATTACAAATTTTATATATATTTTCATGTATTCATATATTATATGAATCTCAGCATTGGGGATGGGCAATATCTTATCGTTTGCGATTATACCAGTAAAGACTCTGCCTGCGATAACAGTGACAAAACCTAGGGTGCGTCTCAATCAGCTCCCTAGTTCAGTAGTCAGGGCACTTATCAGGGAGTAGACCATTTTAGGGCCATTTTAGGTCTCAATTAGGGCTGGGCGATATAGCTAAAAAAATGTATCAACGATATAATGTTTCATATCGTTCGGTATCGACAATTATTGACATTTTTATAACCTTTTTTAAAACAAAAAGCAATAGAATCTTTTTTTTTTTAATTTAACCACTGTATTTATAATTAACACAATTTATTGAGACAAACAACAAATATTTTTTTGTTTTAACAATTAAACACAATAAAAATTAAACATCTCGTTTCTAATGTTTTATATGCAGATTAAATAGGTCTTTATTGTATAGGACTAATTGTCTCCCGAGTGCGCAATGAGCAAAATAATGCAGCGCATTTAGCAAGTAACTCCTATAAAAACGTGCATTACGTATAAATTAACTCATAAAAATCAAATATAATTTTGTAAATTGCATAAACGATTATGAACAAAACAGCATCATGTATTTATGCATTGCTTAATCCAAAGAGCTGAAGCGCCATTCACACAGATTGCATTAAAAAACATATGAGACGCAGTGAAAAGGAATAAACCTCCACAAATTCGTGCATGTTTTCTAAAAGTTTAAACTGTTTTAACTGCATGGCTTTCTATACATCTCTTGTGTGAGACGCGAGTGCAGCAGTCATATTTGTCCGTCTAAAAATGCGCTGAATATGCATTCTGTGTGAATGGCTTAGTTTCGGTTTTAACCTAATCAAGATCTTCTCCACATTGAGCTTCTATATTTCTCTAATATTTTGAATGAATAACGCAGCAGCGGCACGTCTCGTGGGCTAGACTAACAAAACATTTAAGTGCAACAACGTCACTTACATCATCACCGCATCTCGCTCGCCACTGATGACGCTTCCTGATGCACACCTAACATTCAAATGCAAATGTTTATTTTAAATTCGACTAATATTCATTATTTATTCACAATCTCCTCATGCACAGCACTCATTTCAGCATGTGTTCGTGTTTGTGTGTGCTGTCTGCGTCACTCATAGCACGTGCCTATATCGTGAGCTATATCGAAAAAAAATTCTATCGATATCGATGAAGGTGTACAGTCGATAAATATCGATACCGTTTTATCGCCCAGGCCTAGTCTCAATTGCGAAATCCTTCCAGTGCACTGGAACATTCGCTCCCTGAAAAATCTCACAATACACCGCAAAAACTAGGGAGCATCGATGCTCACTATGCTCCCTTACTGGAAATTACGTCACATTTCTGAAGTGCTAAACATAAACCATAAGCATCAGTGGAAGCATATGCATCAGTCATTGATATCACTATCGTAATAAATACCAGAAAATATTGTGATATAGTCCATATCACCCATCCCTACTCAGCATCTCTTTGACAGTCTTGTGTGCACTAGTATTTCCTTCAGGAAATGTAAATCTAGTTGTCATTGTTTGTGTGTTGTAGGGACATGAAACCAGTGCCTTGTTAATTCTCGAGAAGCTGACGGACAGAAACCTCATCAACTGCACAAACACAGCGCTGCAGACGTAAGTCATGTACCTGCTCTTGTGTTTGTTGTCCTCCTCATCATCTCAGGATTATAGAGAGCTGCTTCTCTGTGTTGTGTCTCAGGCCGCTGCACGTCGCTGCTGGTAACGGACTGACGGTGGTCGTACAGGAGCTGCTGGGTAAAGGAGCCAGTGTCCTCGCCGTGGATGAGAACGGTGAGCGTTTAAAGTCTCGGCCTGTAGTGTAAACGGCTACTTCTGCGTCAAAGCAGAAATTTTTTATCATAATTATCCAAACTAAAACTAAAAACATAAAAATGTAATACTTATAATAAAGTTAACTGCAATAAAATAATTTCTCCAAATTTTTGAAAAAAAAATTACAAATATTTTCGATTTAATTTAATTGAACTTGCTTTACTAAAATAACTTAAACTGAAATAAAAAGGAATGACTGGCAGTCTGGTTTTAAGGGAGGAGGATGAGGCATAAAGGATTTCTTATACTATGACTACATCTGGTGGACAACCTTAGTATTACAACCTTCATCTTTCAGCTGAAATGTCTGATAGATTTTAATTTGTTTTCACTCCCCTGAGTAATGAAAATTCATGAAACTAAGCATGTTCCCTCAGAATGACACGTTCTCCATATGTAAAAAGTTGAGGAGTTAGCTTCTATATTTCTCTAATATTTTGAATGAATAACGCAGCAGCGGCACGTCTCGTGGGCTAGACTAACAAAACATTTAAGTGCAACAACGTCACTTACATCATCACCGCATCTCGCTCGCCACTGATGACGCTTCCTGATGCACACCTAACATTCAAATGCAAATGTTTATTTTAAATTCGACTAATATTCATTATTTATTCACAATCTCCTCATGCACAGCACTCATTTCAGCATGTGTTCGTGTTTGTGTGTGCTGTCTGCGTCACTCATAGCACGTGCCTATATCGTGAGCTATATCGAAAAAAAATTCTATCGATATCGATGAAGGTGTACAGTCGATAAATATCGATACCGTTTTATCGCCCAGGCCTAGTCTCAATTGCGAAATCCTTCCAGTGCACTGGAACATTCGCTCCCTGAAAAATCTCACAATACACCGCAAAAACTAGGGAGCATCGATGCTCACTATGCTCCCTTACTGGAAATTACGTCACATTTCTGAAGTGCTAAACATAAACCATAAGCATCAGTGGAAGCATATGCATCAGTCATTGATATCACTATCGTAATAAATACCAGAAAATATTGTGATATAGTCCATATCACCCATCCCTACTCAGCATCTCTTTGACAGTCTTGTGTGCACTAGTATTTCCTTCAGGAAATGTAAATCTAGTTGTCATTGTTTGTGTGTTGTAGGGACATGAAACCAGTGCCTTGTTAATTCTCGAGAAGCTGACGGACAGAAACCTCATCAACTGCACAAACACAGCGCTGCAGACGTAAGTCATGTACCTGCTCTTGTGTTTGTTGTCCTCCTCATCATCTCAGGATTATAGAGAGCTGCTTCTCTGTGTTGTGTCTCAGGCCGCTGCACGTCGCTGCTGGTAACGGACTGACGGTGGTCGTACAGGAGCTGCTGGGTAAAGGAGCCAGTGTCCTCGCCGTGGATGAGAACGGTGAGCGTTTAAAGTCTCGGCCTGTAGTGTAAACGGCTACTTCTGCGTCAAAGCAGAAATTTTTTATCATAATTATCCAAACTAAAACTAAAAACATAAAAATGTAATACTTATAATAAAGTTAACTGCAATAAAATCAAATAAAATAATTTCTCCAAATTTTTGAAAAAAAAATTACAAATATTTTCGATTTAATTTAATTGAACTTGCTTTACTAAAATAACTTAAACTGAAATAAAAAGGAATGACTGGCAGTCTGGTTTTAAGGGAGGAGGATGAGGCATAAAGGATTTCTTATACTATGACTACATCTGGTGGACAACCTTAGTATTACAACCTTCATCTTTCAGCTGAAATGTCTGATAGATTTTAATTTGTTTTCACTCCCCTGAGTAATGAAAATTCATGAAACTAAGCATGTTCCCTCAGAATGACACGTTCTCCATATGTAAAAAGTTGAGGAGTTTGAACAATGCACTTTAAAGATAGGCTGTTTCCTTTTTTGCTGTTATTTTTAATAAATCGCCATGGCAACACCGTTTGAGATATCCAAAAACCATTCACAAATTAGTTTCCTCAGTGTTTTGGCATCATGTTGACAAAAGTTTAGTGTAAATCGTATGATAGCAATTGGAGGAGTATATTGAAGAATTTTAAAGTTTGAAGCATTGCCATGTCAACACTATTTAAGATATTAATAATCCCTTCACAGTTTCTCATCTGCCATGTTTTGACATGATTCAGGTGAAGTAGGAAGTAAATCGGGTAAAAATAAATGGCTGATTTCAAAATGATACGCTTCCTGCTGCCAGTTGGTGGTTATAACTCATAATAGTCACATCTATGTGATCGGCCTCATACAACGAACAAACTGCTGAGGTTTAATAAAAATCAGACGATATATGCAAAAGTTATTAGACACTTTCTGTTTCTAATTTCTCGCCATAATTTTGTTGCCTTGCCATGGCCAAATCATTCAAGATATCAAAAATCCCTTCGCAATTTTGCATCCCCAATGTCTTGATCATGTCGACAAAGTTTGGTAGCGATCAGATAAAAACCCTAGGAGGAGTATCGCGAATTCTACAGCATGTTCTTTTCACAAAACCCTGAATAGCCGACTTCCTGTTGTGTGGAGCGCTGACTGTCAGCACGAAAGTTGTTCAGCCTTCTGAGATCTATATGTGTATGAATTTTGGTGACCGTAGTTCAAACGGTGTGTGGTACAGAGCTTGTTGAAAATGGCCTTATTAAAAGGTGACCCACCCATGTGAATCTCTGTCTGGTCCTGATGGATGCAGATTCCAACATGTGTGTCAATTTTCAAGAGTTTTTGAGCAGGTTAAGGCCCCCAAAATGCCCCGGAAGTTTAAAAAAATAATTTGCAAGTTCCTAAGAAAAACAATAGGGCCCTCCGGCCTGTATGGGCTTGGGCCCTAATAAAAAGTATAACAGCATCTCAATAATACTAAATAAAATGAGATTGCAAAATACTGAAATAATACTAAAATACTAAATAATGCTTTTTTAAGGAAATTTAACAAGGATGCATTAAACTGATGAAAAGTGACCGTAAAGCTTTGCCATTAGAGGAATAAATGACATTTTAAAATTAGTGCTGCCAAACGATTAATCGTGATAAATTGCATCCAAAATAAGAGTTTTTGTTTACATAATATGTGTGTGTACTGTGTATATTTATTATGCATATATACATTATATATATATTATAAAGTATATTTATTATAACACATACAGTATATATTTTGAAAATATTTCCATGTATATGTTTATATTCATATAATTTATATTATATATATATATATATATATATATATTTAATATATGAACATAACATATTTTTCCTAAATATATGCATGCATGCGTGTGTGTGTGTGTATTTATATATATATACATAATAAACATACACAACACACACACATATACAGGGCCTAAAACTTACTTTTTGCCACACCTGCCAATGGCCGGTGACATGATAAAATTTATCGGCCAAATATTTTTTTTACCGGCCATGAAACTCTTTTTGCAAAAACAGGCAGTTATTACTACTATAATAACTAAACATATTTTAATTTTTTTGTCCTACTGGTGCATTTTCCCTCAATTTTCCCTATTAATTATAGCCATTCAACATTACATAACATTCAATAGGCTCTGAAATGTATAACAACTTTTAATTTACCGTAAGTGATTTTAAAACAATATTCACAAACTATATTATATATGCATAAACTACACATATTAATCTTAATTCAAGCTATAAAAGGTCATCAGCGACCAGAACAGTCCAAGGATTTCTTTTTCTTTTGTTCTTTGGTTTACATCAATGACAGACTTCAGCGGGCTTCACTTTAAAATCAGCGCTGTCTCTTTAAAACCTGATGCATCTGACGTGGATCTGACACACACCTGATTTTCTCCCAACTCTTTACTGTCATTTAAGACTTTATAACTCATTTAGGACTACGTTTACAAAGTAACTCGCCAAAACCGCACATTTTGACATAATTGTGTGTGTTTTCGTACAGCCTTTCACTGCACCATTTAGGCGGCGTAACCGCAGGTATGTGTCGCCACATTCTTGGGTTATGAAGAAATGAAGGGCTTTTAATTCTGAAATGAAGCAGCAAAATCTTCTCAGTTAAAAGTTATTAGAACCATGTCTAGGGGCAAGCTGGCCATCACACTGCTCTGACCTTATCAGCCCGTTTGTATCCTATTATTTGATTCGCTCTTGTCGCTTATGACAGAGCAGCTAATCACGATGATCTTCGGAAAAGATTATTTTATTTGCTTATGTCAGAAACAGTGAATCTCTTTAACAACTGGCTGTTGTTTTCACTTAATTGCATTGTTATAATTAGTAAAAGTTGTACCCACCAACTGGCGACTGACACTGTTACATATACTTAATTTTAGGCCCTGCACATATATTATGTAAACAAAAACTTTTATTTTGGATTAATCGTTTGACAGCACTATTTAAAATATATTCAAATAGAAAACAGTTTTGAATTGTAATCATATTTCACAATACTGTTTTTACTGCATTTACGATCAAATAAATGCAGCCTTGTGAGCAGAAGGAGACTACTTTTAAGAACTATTTAAAACCCCTTGAGGTTCGTCGATTTTTGTTTTTCATGCCTAAACCTTTAATGATTTAATAGTTTAAATAATTATTCAAATTATTATTATAAAAATTGTTTCTTATTTTGTTTTAATATTTCTATATAATATATTTACTTTCTCCATTTCAGGTATTTCACCCCATTTAACATTTTATATTTTAATATTAAAAGTACCAAATGTGTTTTATAAATACTATAAATGCTCGACTAGCTTTGACTCTGTTTCTCTAGTTATTTTCCAGTCTATAAACAAGTGTATATAATATTTTTTTTGTTTTTAGCGAGCAGTGTTGGGCAGTAACTAATAACTTAGTTACTGTAATAATATTACTTTTTACAGTAACTAGTAGTGTAACTAATTACTAATACGATTTCAGTAATAATTTTACAGTTACCATCCATAAAACAGCTTAGTTACCTCTGATGCCTCAACCCCGCTGATTTAAAATCCAACAATCAAATAATTCCTAGATTTACTTTCACGACTCGCACATGCATGTGATGTCCCCAGTGCAGCAGGCGAGCTTGGAATATGGAAAAGCTTACATTCAGCACATAGAATATTGCATTATATTGATTTTGTCAGGAAAAAGATCTGAGCATTGTTCTGCAAGTCGTGGCTTTACTTTACTCTGGCATTACATCCCTCTGATCAGCATGTGGTACATTATATTACTATCATTAAACATCTTTTTGGAAAATTAAAATTTCTTACAAACTTAAGGAAATATAATCGTATATGGGTAACGGAGAAATGACAATTAGCTTCAAGCTACACATGACAATTAATGAGAATTAAAGGGTTAGTTCACCCAAAAATGAAAATTCGGTCATTAATTACTCACCCTCATGGCGTTTTTAACCCGTAAGACCTCCGTTCATCCTCGGATCTATCAATCTATCTATCACTATCAATCACTAGAATTTTATGTGGAAGATACACAGTTACAGCTTCTGTGGGGCGTGAAGAAAAAGTTATGTAACTAGTAGTGTAACTAATTACTAATACGATTTCAGTAATAATTTTACAGTTACCATCCATAAAACAGCTTAGTTACCTCTGATGCCTCAACCCCGCTGATTTAAAATCCAACAATCAAATAATTCCTAGATTTACTTTCACGACTCGCACATGCATGTGATGTCCCCAGTGCAGCAGGCGAGCTTGGAATATGGAAAAGCTTACATTCAGCAGATAGAATATTGCATTATATTGATTTTGTCAGGAAAAAAGATGATCCTGAACACTGTTCTGCAAGTCGTGGCTTTACTTTACTCTGGCATTACATCCCTCTGATCAGCATGTGGTACATTATATTACTATCATTAAACATCTTTTTGGAAAATTAAAATTTCTTACAAACTTAAGGAAATATAATCGTATATGGGTAACGGAGAAATGACAATTAGCTTCAAGCTACACATGACAATTAATGAGAATTAAAGGGTTAGTTCACCCAAAAATGAAAATTCGGTCATTAATTACTCACCCTCATGGCGTTTTTAACCCGTAAGACCTCCGTTCATCCTCGGATCTATCAATCTATCTATCACTATCAATCACTAGAATTTTATGTGGAAGATACACAGTTACAGCTTCTGTGGGGCGTGAAGAAAAAGTTATGTAACTAGTAGTGTAACTAATTACTGTTGCCAGAAAGTAATAAGTAACTATTACTTTTGAAATGAGTAACTAGTAATGAGTAATATATTGCATTCTTTAGCCCTATTCAGACGGGACTAGTTTTCTAAACTACGTTTGAGTTTCAATTATTATCAACTGACGTCTGCGAATTTCATGTACCAATTCAGACGGGACCAACATCTCCATGTTTATTACAAAGGTGGGAGGGTCTGTTTTGTACATCTGGGTGTCACGGAGACCACGCGCTCTGTATGCGTGCATTGCGTATAGTCAGTCGGATTGATTACCATTAGTATAATCACACAAATACCATGGTGAAGCTAAATGGCTAGTATAGCAAAACCATGTTAATGTGTGGTTACTTTAGTTTAACTATTTTATTTTTTCATTTATTTGTAGTAAACCCTTGTTTAATTTTCATAAAGGTACATTATGTAATTGAGGGCAGAAATGAACGCGAGTAATCTTACCTGATAGTTTACGTGATCTGGCTCTTGATTTTATTACCGTTATTTTTTTCATTTCTTTGCCGGGAAGCAAATATATCAAACATGCGCGCGGTAAGAGCATCTACGGAAATTCACGTTGGCTAAAACACACAAGGAAATGCGTTGTGAAAAAAAAAATATCGCCGGCAATCACAGACATTCGCATTCGGACAGAATTAGTTTTCTCAGAGGATCACTGAGTTTGCTGAAAAACAGTAGGTCATTTGCTCTGGAATTATTACAGAGGTTGTGTGAGAAAAACACAGACGTGGCAAATTCGGACGGGATTAAAATCACCAAGTATGTCTGTGAAACACAAATTTCTCTAACGACCCCCTGTAAAACTAGTCCCGTCCGAATAGGGCTTTAGAGTAACTAGCCCAACACTGTTAGCGAGTCATTGACGCATTGATTCAACTGATTCAATAAAACACTGAATCGTTTACAAATAAAACAAAGAACGTGAACTAAATGATTTAGTTTTTTCACGCCTAAACATTTAATCAATTGTATTTGCCAGGTTACACTCCAGCTTTGGCTTGCGCTCCGAACAAGGACGTGGCCGACTGTTTGGCGCTGATACTCTCCTCCATGATGCCCATCTCTCCCAGCAGCACCCGCACCATGTCGAGCCTCACCTTTACCCCCATCAACCACTACTCCAGCCCATCCAAGACTGTGACCTTTGACCCGTTACCGGTGCTGCGCTCCAAGCACGTCTCCTACCACAAGTTCAACAGCTTGGGCCGCGAGGACGGCCTCATCATCCCAGATGACGAACTCAATGATTCAGACTCAGAAACATACTGACAACACGCCCCTGTCCCGGCCCTCAGTGTCTTAACCTAACACCTCATTGGCTGAAAGGTCACTATATGCTAATTAGGGTCGTCCCTTTATGTGGCTGAACTCTCAGGAGAAAGCTGAAAAACAGGAAGAGAAGTGCCACAGAAATGGCCCACACTACAGTCTAGTTTGTATATTCTATACAAGGGGTGCCCAACCCTGCTCCTGGCGATCGACTGTCCTGCAAAGTTTAGCTCCAACCCTAATCAAAGACACCTGCCTTTAATTTTTAAGTGATGCTGAAGACCCTAATTTAGCTCCAACTCTAATCAAACACACCTGCCTTTCATTTTTAAGTGATCCTGAAGACCTTTATTAGTTGCTTCAGGTGTGTTTGATTAGGGTTGGAGCTGAACTTTGCAGGACAGTCGATCGCCAGGAGCAGGGTTGGGCACCCCTGTTCTATACAGTATCAACCTGTTTGAACCCTCAAGCATCACTACTACTCATTATTTACAGCCATGTTCATTTTGTTTTCTTTTATGAGAAGAAATCAGCTCATATTGGCAGCTGTGGGACTGTAATTCTCAGCATTCATGTGAAACGTGAGGAGGCGAAACTAAAGACGTCAGGGACCAAGAGCTGCAGACTTTACTTTTATCCCCGTTTGTGCATGAAGATTTAAATTAGGTTTGCATCATCATGGATTATTTATTATGAAAAAATTAAGAGTAAAAAAGCCTTTCAGGATTCAAACTGAGTATTTATTCCTCTGCTGTTGTGAGGAATTATAGCGTTCTTCTTGTTGTGTGTGTGTGAGTGATTGTGAATTTGAATGGTGTTTGTGTGATTATTTTATAAGAGTTCAAAGACAATGAAAAGATCAGGTGTGTGACTTGACCTTTTGGTACATTGTTAATAATTATTAATAATTCTAGATAATAAATAATTTTTGCCATAAGATTCCACAGTGTCTTTATTTATTACAGAAAACTGGCATATATTTAACAAACTATGGAAAATATGGAGTCCGGGATGGGCCAAGTTTGTAAATTATATTATATTATATTTTAAAAGAATATATAAGAACATAAATTAATATGTTCTTATATATCGAGAGGAATATTTTTAGCCAATACCTTTAATTTGGGTTTGTAAGACTTAAGATAATTTTAAATATAGCACAAGAGGGTTTAATTTTAGTTTTTGGAGCTTTACTTTCATTATATGCATTTTCATATAGAAGAGCGTGACTATTCTTAACACTTAAAAGCCCTTAAAATCATATAGGATTGGAACAGGTTTTATTAAAATGATGACAGAATTTTCCACTTTCATTTTTGGGTGATAAAAACCAGAGTAAGAAGCATGTATTTTTTAGACCTTGTCCTTCTCATAGTGTCTCCCATACAGCACTGCAGTTACAAGCCCAGCGCTCATTCCCGTCCGGCTCATGTAAAACCCATTTCCGCCCTCCCAACCGGAATGATCCGGAACATCCAGAGTCATCCCGCTACCCAGAATCCCCGGGAACACGTGAGGAGTCACGAAGATCCCCGCGAGCCTGAAGTCCACCAGCGTCTGAGCGTGTTCGGTTTCTCCTCCGCAGCTGCTGTGATGCTCACCTGTGCACCTCACCAAAGCACAAATCTCCAGGTAATATGTCCCGTGCACCACATGGAGGCCATTGAAGACGCCAAGAGCGTAAAACTCATGCGCATCTGACCTCCGGAACAGCAGGTGGCAGCAAACTGAACCACTACAAATGCTGATGTTTCCTTCAGTGCCTTGCAAAGGCACCAGAGTGAAATTATCATACATCATGATGGAGTTAAAGGTTGTAGATGAAGTTCCTTCTGCACATTCGGAGTCTTTTCGGCAGTATTTTCCATCGTGATTTGCGTTAAAACTACTTGTAGGCCAAACGTGCATCTTTTCTGGTTCTTTTGAACTTTGATACCCAGAAAATGGCACCAGTTTATGCCTGTCATCCCCAATAAATGAGGGATCCAAAACTGGCACTCTACGCACTAGCAATTTCCCAGAATTCCCCTCTGTGTCATGATGAATGAGTGAATCCCACGGCGTGAAGATGCCGCTGCCGGTTATGCCGTACTCGGCAGCTCGGACGTTGGCAGCCAGCAGAGTGACGCCTGTCGCGTGCGAGAACGAGCTCTGAAACTGTACGGCGGCCAGCAGGGGGAGCTGGTTCATCCACGCGGTCGGATACACGATCTGCCGGATGCCCATTTCCTTTACCAGAGTCACCGCCGGGTTGCGGAACAGGATGTCGAAGCACGTAAACACCCCGAATCGGCCTGCGAACGGTGTGGTGAACGTAACGTACTCAAACTCCGGCGGAGCATCAAACGCCACCTCAAAGTACAAGTTCTGCTTGTGATATCTGGCCACGATGACGCCCTCATCGCTGAACACCACGTTGGTGTTGAACTGGTACTGACTGTCTTCAGGACACCGAGGGTCTGAGATTCGGTTGCAATTCTGACGGGACGGCATGTTGGCCACCAGGAAGAGGCGATTCTTACGGGCCATACAGCTGAGACTGTGGAGGACCTGAGAAAGAAGCAATCATATATATATATATATATATATATATATCTGTAAAAAAAAATCTGTAAAATATACGATAAAAAACCGGCAGCTGTGGTTGCCGGAATTTTACCGTAAAAAATAGGTACCAAACCTTCAGAAAACATGCTGAATAACAGCTAAAAGAATTTAAAAAACTTTTTTATGATTTAATATGAATATAATCTTAATAATGTCATGGAAACTTAATTCACTGTAGCTTTCTAACATCAGACTTTGATTCTGAAAAGATATTGGTGGTAACAGATCATACTATAAAACATTTATTATTTATAGTTTTAAATTATAAAGGGACAAGAAGCATGTTAATGCACAGTATTATAATATGAGATCTATATCACTATGTATAATTTGCAAATTGGTGCATTTTTATGTAATTATGCATAATTCACATATTTTAAATGGGTAAAGTCACAATGCTATTAAGTGTTCTAAAATATCTGTTTCGGGGGTTTTGTGTGTGTGTGTGTGTGTGTGTGTGTGTGTGTGTGTGTGTGTGTGTGTGTGTGTTAAGATGGCATAATAAATGATATTAATATTCTGAATGCAGTAATATGCTCCGGTAGTAATGCACATTCTTGCATTGATTTTGTTTGTTAGTTTGTCTGTGTACCTGCTGTGCTGCAAGTGCTGTCTGCTCTTCAAACACACCTGGTATCGGTGGCAGAGAGGAGGACCTTGAACAAACTGCTGGTCATTATGGATAATCGCCATCACCCTCTGCACAACACCTTCTTCAGGCAGAGGAGCCTGTTCAGTGGCAGATTGCTGTCACTTACCTGTTTCACAAACAGGCTGAGGAGATCATTTGTCCCCCAGGCCATACGCTTGTACAACGCCTCCAATAGAAGGAGAGGTGGAACAGATTTTCGGCATTACTGGCCTATATAGGAGTTTCAGGAACGCTGATTACTGGCTATACTAGCCTTCTGGCACAGCTTCCCATGCTCAGTTAATTTGCAGTTTATTTGAAACATAATGCACCTTTTCTATAACATTGTATTTTTATATCTTTCTTTTTGATATTTGCATATATATTTATATAATTTCCTATTTCCATTTCAACTGTCTATGTATAGGATCTTTTTATGTGTGCCCTAGTCTTCTATTATTGTATTGTATTGTATAGCTACTGGATGCCTAAATTTCCCTCTGGGATCAATTAAGTATTCAGCAGCAGCAGTTGGAGAGTATTTTGACTGTCAATAATAATTTTGCACAAATTTGGCTATATTCCCTTACATCAGCTCTCATTATCTTTGATCACAAGCAAGTGATTTCGTCCAGGAATCGTAAAATCAAAATGCTTTTTTTTACCTATAGCATTCATCGGATCTTGACTTGCTCTTCCAGTTTACACTCCGTGTGCGCGAGCATCGAACGTGCTTACAGTGGGATCACGTAATTTACCCGGAAACAACAACATTCTAATTTCTGATTGGCTGGCAGGTGGCATTTAACTCTGTGTAACCCGAGACAGCTTCCCTCTGTATACCTGCGCCTCGTCCATTAATTGTATATAGCGGGACAAGTTATCAATAACTTCTCAGCGTGAGAAATGCAAGGTGTGGCGTGTGAGCTGGAGAGCCCTGTATTTGCATGCATTAGTATAAAATATTTATAATAAACAAAAGCGCATTGTTAATGCACTTCCAGGTGACATTACGTCACTCGTAAACCGCGATTCTATTGGTTGATGTGAGCTCCAGCTACACGACGCACAGTCAATGCATACGGCCTTTTTTAATAGATATTTTACATGAGCACTTTCCTCTCAATATATTTGCATGCATAAACAAAAACGCATTTTTTATTATTGAATGCTTCACAAACAAATTTACAGATAAATCAAATTTTTTTGTTATCAGTACAATTAAGAGAGTCAATAAACAAAAAATTGGACAACTCTGTCTGATACCACGTTTAATAAAAAATCTCTTCGAAATATTAAAACTAATTAAGATAGAGCTGCTAATATCTTTCACTAACATTAACAACAAAGTCACCAAAACCAAAGAACTTGAGAGGTTGCGAAAGAAATCCATGCTCAAGGTCCTACAATGTGATTTTCTGGATTTTTTTTCTCATTTAGTCTCTCATAGTTGAGGTATACCTATGATGAAAATTACAGGCCTCTCTCATCTTTTTAAGTGGGAGAACTTGCACAATTGGTGGCTGACTAAATACTTTTTTGCCCCACTGTATATTTATATGGATATATTTATATAAATATGTTTTATAGTTACACTTTTTTTTGGTTAAATATACTAATTCCTAATTATCCTAATTGTAATATACAAGGTCAGATCAAGTTATTTGGTATGACTCTTACTCAAATTAAATGACATTTTACAAGCTGAGTAAGAACTGCTTTGAGAACTGCATTATATTCTTTAAAGGTTATGGGGAAATTATGAACAGACAAAAATTTATCATAAAATTAAAAAATTACCAGATTTATCCAAAACCTAAAAGAACTCCTATTATATTCCTACTAAACCATGTAGAGAGAAAAAAAACAGATTTATTCTTAATCATTACATCTGAATTGTTCCATAAAAAGGTTTTATGTGGTGAAAAATTGTAGGTGTAACATAACTTCCAGGCAAGAAGAACCTGATGAAATTTAGACAGCGCAACTCAAAAAAGCACATTGTTGTTAATGGACTTCCATATGACTTTATGCGTCACTTTATTCTATTGGTTGACGTGAGCTCCATCTGCATAGGCATGTTCTTCATACTTCATACCATAGACGTATAAATACATACAGTTTTTTTTTTGCATGGCATGAAAGCACACATTATGTAGTCTTTTGGATTTAAATAAGCAAATACTGAAGAGGATCATTATTGCAGTGATTAATATGTTTCTGGCATTTTTTATGTTTGGCAACAATACTTTCAACCCTAACTGATGCTGTGTGTCTGTGTGTGTCTGTGTGTCTGTGTGTGTGTCTGTGTGTGTGTGTGTGTGTGTGTGTGTGTGTGTGTGTGTGTGTGTGTGTGTGTGTGTGTGTGTGTGTGTGTGTGT